GAAGTAAGGGATAGTCGGTTTGGGACCATGGTAGAACTCTAGCGCTGAGGGTTTACCATAGGAAGGGTCTCCGTGGGGGGAATGTTGGCGGTCAGATGAGTATCTGCCTCCCCTACTTCTCTCTCTGTCACATCCATAGCGTGATGCATAGTAATTATCATGGTGGTCCCTGTAATCAGAAGATTGTCCCCCTTCATGTCCATAGTAGAGGCTGTCATGGCGAGCGCTTGGACTACTTGGTCGGTTGGGCTTCTTAGGGCGATATTCATCACCGTGGTCTGGATGATTTGACTTAAATGGAGAGACACCATAATAACGGTGAAATCCATCACCATGGTGATAGGGCTCATTATAGCGGTCGTAATCATCCTCATAGTTGGGATCATACTTGACATCAGAGTTGGATGCTGCTTTAAAATGTGGCCTTTTGCTATCACATGATTTATCACAAGCTTTATGGTGTGATTTACACTCTCTTTGATGTGATGACTCTGGTTCCGGACGATTATCAATATCGAAATCCATAGGCTTGTCTTGGGAGAAGGGAGATGAGCTTCGAGTTGTTACTGGAGAAATGTCATCTTTGCTGATTAATCCTACCTCCTGCAAGCAGCGGTCAAGATCCTCAACGGAATCACGTCGGTGGCTTTGTGGAAGTGGAGGAGCATCATTAATCACCGATGGGGCACTTACTGCCTGACGTGGGCTTGTGTGGCCACTAGATGGCGTCGGCTTACTTATAGGTGCTGGTGCAGTAGATGTATCCTCTTCTCTGCGCTTAGACTGTGACTGAGGATTTGAGTCTTGTCCATGAGATTGCTGGATTATGTCTGTAAGACGCTGGACCTCTCTGTGTAGTCGTTCACTTTCCTCTCTCATGCTTTGAAGATGTCTGAGTACTTCAGATGAAGCTGGCTGCTCCTCCCCTGTAATGTGGTGCCTTGGTGTATAGCTGACCTCGTAATTCTGGAGATGTGATGGCATATGCCTCGATCTTTGTGGACGGTTTATGTCTCTCACGCTCCTCTCATGTGACCTTGCCATATTGACTGTAGTGGTTGCTTGTATCCGGCTCGAAGGACCAAAATGTATTAAAGGCTGAAGCTGATTTTGTTGTGGATAAGCAATCACTCCAGGCGTCGGGTTAGGACAGCTGTTATATATGTTGAGGTGAGTTATTG